ACAAAACCTTCAGTCACAAATGAACGTCGCGTCGTCTTCTGTTCACTCCACCGAAAAAAGCCGCTTTCGAAATTGGCCTTTGAATCATCTTGTATTTTCGGAACGAGTCAGTCACCCAAACATGATTTTGAAAAGGAAGAAACGGAATGTCGTGTGGAAACTGAATTTCATTCAGACAATGCTTCGCCTCAGTGCTGCCAAATTTGGGGTCAAATCTCGTCATATATCACTATTTTCTTTTAACATTCTCATTCTATTGTTTGAAATTTGAAGTTGCTAGTAAAAAATTGAGGACGTCAACAGCAGTATATAATACTCCAGCCACAAACAATACCCCTTCGTCATCCAATCTCCACTTCAAGAAGTTGGATGCAATGATCGAAAGAAAGAGAATTCATAAAAGAGAAGGAGTTGACCCAATTTGTAGTTGAATGATAAATAATGGCGTCACTTCCAACAGTGTCGCTTTCAACCCTTATTATGATGAAACATTTCCATTCGAAAATATTGATAGAGCACCAGTTTCTGTTATTAATGACAGTGAAACCAGCAGCATGGAAGGAGAACAAATTAGCATATTAATCAACTCATTTGGAATTGTCGCTTTGTTAACGTCTCAGAATCAGAGACTTAATGGAAGAGTAATGCAAATTTCTTTTGCATAATGAGTCCCATCAAAGTTCAAAACATGAAAAGTCGAGTGAATCATCATGAGTTTATTCTCGAAAAATAATTAATTTGATGAGATTACCTTGAAATTGGTTGCCCTTCAGAAGCATTTCACTCAACTACAATAGTTTAGAAAACTTTCATACAGACTCAGTTTATTGATATGTAAAACTTATCGATGACAAAAAATTAAAACTGTCAGACAAGTCCCTTTATTGAACATCAGAAATTTTGAACTTCCATTCAAGAAATTTGACAGATTTGAAATAATTTGAACATAAGAAAATAGAGAGATATTTTGAGAAGGACAATTTATATATGAAATATTTTTTTATTGAGGATTTTTACCTTCTACACAGGACAATTTATACTTGAAATAGTTTTTTATTTAGGATTTTTATGTTCTACAAATCTATAAAATAATCAGAATATTAAATTTTGAAATGAATACAAATGTAGAAACTGCATTTGGTGAATTAGCTTCTTGAAAAAAATGTAAATTGTCAGTAACTTGAATGTATGAAATTTGCATACAAAAATAAATATGTATCATCTGGTGACGTTTTAAAAACTATCCATTTTCTTTATAAAAAAATATTTAAATAAAAACATTGTAATTGACCCATGTTCTGGATTTCTTGATTTTTCTTTTCCATGTTTACAATCTGTGATAGCTTCCTCAAGTGCTTGAAGAAGCTATTATACAGCGAAACACGTCTCGCGTTTTTTGTGATACCCTTCATAGTGAAAATCATGCAATAAACTGTATTTATTAGTTAGAATATGTCTTCGTTGTTTTCTTTGTTACTTTTCAATTACTGAAAAATGATCACCTTTGAACACTCCATTCCTCAAAAAAAATTCGTGAGAATTTTGAAAATTGAAAATGTTAACGGGTATGAGATGATTTCCCCCTCAATTTTATGTGAACATACTCCCGTGGTTAGTGTGTCTGTAGTGTCGATGATAAAAATGAAATTATATCACAGGGAAAAAGAGATGGGTCTGTTTTTAGTCGTGAATCTTTTTTTTAAGTGGTGATCAACTATTCTTAGTGGACGAGTGTTTTACTGGGAATTTCGAATAGAGAATAATTGGAAGAAACTGACATTCTACAAATAGTTGACCTGCATGACCAACCGCATTTGAGAACCTAACTTCAGGACCAATTCAAGTTTTTAGTGCAGCACCGAAAAAAGCTATGCTAATTTGGATTTTGGAAACTAGTCAATTACCAGCCGGTAGCCAAGCGGTTCGGCGTGGGTGCTTTGTTCACTCACTCGAATTGACTGCCGTGTTGGTCGGTGGTTCAAGCCCTAGTCCGAACGATCGATCTTCACTTGCTACCGTCCAACCCGTGTTAGGAATCACACGTTAAAAGGTAAGACCTCGTTAATCCTTAGCTCGCACAAGTTTCGACTTCTGAGGGTTGTCGTTCGTAGGGGTGCGACAGCTGGTTAACGGAAAAACAGATTTTAAACAGATTTTAAACAGATTTAAACATCATATGGATTCAAAACAAATTTCGATCAAGGGCTTCCAAATCAAATCATTGAAACAAATGAGTTTTTCGTGAGGGGTAACTTGAATTTATTTTACGCTTAATGATGACTTTGCTATTGCCAAGTACATACTGTACTTGTTTGTCTCCATTATGATGAGTATTAATTTTCGACTCAAACCTTTCACAGGGTGGGAAATATTGAACAGAGACAAAAATTAATAAACTTTGCAACTCCTATGACCCAATTTCAACAGCTCTATTTCGAGTTTGTAGGAAAATATATATTCAATGTGATGTTATTCCGAAAAAAACATGTCTGGAATGAAGTAGTTTCATGTAGATGGCGCTGAATGTTACTTCGCAACGGTGGTACAATTTACCGAAAACATCAAAATCATCTGATGTAGCTGGATCACGATAACCCCACTTTCGAATTTTTTTAACGAGAATCACACGAGTACTTTTTTTTATTGCAATCTCGATGGCAACAGAGGTTGAAGCTAAAGTCGATTTTCGAGAAAAGCTATCGTACAAAACAAATAATCATAGGAAATTTAAGCTCAGGAGATGATTTTCTTTTTCTAAGACTGCAACACTGTGGCAATCTTAGTTATTATAAGAGGAATTTCCATATGATGCGGACATTACTGAAAACAATGTATATTATTATGCTTCTAGAATGGAAATAGACTCACTCCACCATAATAAGATATATTTGAAAAAAAAATTCGAATAAATATCGAAATTTATAAAAATTTTTCTTTGAATCAGCATTTTCTCATAGGTGACATTGTCCGTACCAATATACTATATAGCAAAATGGTTCCTACTTCATAATACAAGTAATATATTCACGAAGTCCATCCCAAACAACTACTTTATAATAACCAAAAATCCCTTATTTTTCACTCCATACTTCAACTATTCAAACAAATATCATATATAAAAGCGCTACAAAACATTATCATCTCATCAGTATGTTATTGAATAACTTTCAAAGACGATTCATTCACTGCATGAAATTACGGATTTCAGTGAAACGATATGATTCTGTCTCAATAACAGTTACTATAAAACATTTATACTACTAGTTGATTTGATCCCAGCCAAAGGAATCTCTTTTGAATTGAAAAAGGCAATTTTTTTTTAATTTGTAAAAAAAAGGAAGGTGTTTCAGAATACACGACCATAGCTCCATCTATATGTATGTTTGTTACTTTTTAACAAATATTCGGGTTTATTATGGATTTTAATCAATAAATTAACGTTTTTAAATAGATTTTTCATTTTTAATTATTATTTTCATTATCGGATACATTGGTGATTACTGTGGTTGATTGTTGGACCTAGACAATAGGCTTATAGTATGACAAATGAGATACACATGTTTTTGAATGAAAATTAGAAAGATATCTAGAGAAATCTGCATCAATTGTTCTAATACCTCTTGTAGAAGGTTCACCAAGAGGTGTCCATCTTTCGACGCGAAATCAACGTTGGAATATCCTGCTCAAATTAGTCGCAACGTATGATAAATTCCTCCTAATTCTTCGACAATAAATGTGTGCTCACTCTCTTGCCCCTACATTAGTATATGTAACGTAACTCTCTCTCTCTGTCTTTCTCTCTCAAGTTCCGTTTGCCTCGCTCGATCACACTTCCGTAACGCATAAAGAAGTTTTATTTCGAAAAAACCCTTTCAACTCTTTTTTTACCAATCAACATACACTTCACAACTTTCTATATAATAATGGAGATTTAGAAAGCTAGAAGGTTTCATTTACAAAAAAACTAATCTTTTCTGAGAATATTTCAACACATCCCGTTTTCTCTGTGGAACAGATTATGATATGTACTGAGTGTCAAACCATGTAGCGTTAATTATGTTGACCTCTACAGGGATATCACCATTCACATAAATAACGGTTATATCGTCAATCTAATATTTTTCATTCGCGTCAGGTTCATGAAAAGACATTCATTATTGTGATTCTAATTGAACGATGGATATACCAGAAGGTTCATCACCGTCATATTGTACGTTATCGTCATACTGATTCATGATGAGATACTAGGTACGTTTCTCCATTTATTCAAATAAAATGGAAATATGGTTATCAATACAATAAAAACCCAATTTGGCGGGATATTCAAATGTTGTATATAGTTGGAATATTCATTTTATTCAAATGTTTTTTGGAAATTTCAGCGTATTGTTTAGAGTCTCAAACTACACTTTATATTGAGTGTTGTGTGGACTCTAAACAATACGCTGAAATTTCCAAAAACAATGTAAAAATTATACTTAGAACAAATTCTTAACCACTGAGTATGGTTGTTTATCTAAACAATAGTTTATCACTTGGACAATAAAAAGAAGTGGACAATATCATCAAATAAAATGGCTATATATTTTTCAGAAGACTCCTTGTCAGCTATCAACTTCTGTAATGAATCAAAAAGTACATCATTTATACCTGGTCCCCCCACAATTTCTGCTAGAAGCCTGGTCAGTGTTGATTTACTGGGTAAAGTGAAAATTTTTGAAAGAACTGAGTAAGACTTAACGCTTTGTTTGTATAGGATCAAAGCCAACAATTTTTCATCAAGTGTAAACCGTCTAAGTTTTTTTGATTTTTTGGATTCCCGCAGCTGACATTGAATAAGAATAGATGCCATACTGTTTAATTTGGCAACATTTTCTACGAGGTAATGTGCTCTTTTAAATTGTTCAGCTTCAGACAATCTACGCCGGAATGATTTTTTCTTGTTTCTTTCCATGGTATACTTTTTATGCAATTGTTGCAGTGCTCCATAAATTTTTTTCTTTTTTGGTGTCATTGTATGCTTTGCAATCCCAGTTGATATCAGTAACTGATATGGTGACAATAGTGCACTGCCTGCATTACCTAAAAAAGAGATCAAATTTTATTGATTCAAAAATAATGTTATAACGCTAGTGTTATACTAAAACTGCATTCAAATAATTCTATCGAGGTGAGAAAGGTGCACTATGGCTATGCGCTAATTTCATACCAAGAGCTATTATCCAATGAACTCAGATTTCACGCATCAATTTTTGCCAATATGAATATGAAATTTTTGACAGAACTCATGTATATATCTCTATCCTTTAAAATGTAGAGTGTTGAAAAAGGAGAGTAATACAACTGACTCTGCACGAGTTCCACCAAAAGAATTCGATAAATGTCTGTATGTTTCTATTCATTACCTTCAATACTGTGAGAAGATTCGTTCAATTCTGGAATCTCAATGACTAACTCATTTAATTGATTACTTTCTTGAGCAGAACTATTTGAAGACTAAGATGTTGATGGAGTATCATATACATCATTTGGGCCTGTTGAACCTAAAAAAAAGTCTGTTTCATTCAAGTTTCACGAACTAAAATTCTTACTCACCAGGAAGATTGAGAGTTGGAACAGCGTTCCCAAATAACTTGTGAGACCAAGCAGAAATGTATTTTGCCTCAAAATGACTATCACACAACCTTCTAAAACCGTAACTTCTTTTGGATCCATTTCCATCAGTTCCAAGTTATTAATTACCAGTCCATTTCTTGAACCTATTTATATCTTTATCTGGATTAGGGAACGCATGTCTTATACTAGCTATACTTTTGCAATAAGGAACGCAACATTTGTTGTGGTAAACCATTGTAAAAAAATCAAAATAACGAAACAAATAATCACTAGGGTACACAGTCAGACAACAACACCACAGACCAACAAATCAGTCACATGACCATCTTTTATATATTATGCACATGTTCTTCTTCTTCTTATTTTTGACATACATCACAAACCACAAGAATATATGTGGGTCCGTGACATAAAAGCAAAGAACAAATTTACAGTGCCATCTTAAGATTTGTAATAGTACTAAAAAAGGGATTCAAGGTGAAGTAACCTACGTGAACCGTCTAGGGTATATGGTCTGTGATCTGAACGTAAACTAGCGGCCATTATTATAATGTGCAAAAAAAATCACCATTTTGAAATACTCAAGCGCGTCAGATTAAGATATATATGGTTCATCTTTATGTGTTAGACGTGCTGTCTCATAATCTGACTATTATCTAGAGGGATTCGCTTAATCTGACAAAAACAAAATTGTTTTTAATTTTTTTTTATACATTGTACTTAATTAATCGAAAAGCTCAAGAAATAGCATGCAAATAAATAAGTATGTTTTGTTCTCCTTGAATTATTTCCTAAAATAAAAAATAAATAAATAAATAAAATGAAGATAAAATTGCTACGCTCGAGAATGTCGCCCTCCCCTTTCTTTACGTCACTCTCAAATTGTCAGATTACTGGAATATACACTTTTTAGGAGGTAATTAACTCACCCTTCCTTAATCTGACACGCTCGAGAATTTCTGATGATCAAGGTACAAGGTATCCCCTGTATATTAATCTGTTGCGCTTTAGTAAATCACGAAATCCCCGCTTGGGCTCCCCTATTATAAATGTACTCATCAGATAAAATATCTATACAAATAATAAGTATTTTTTCGAATTCATCCGGAATTTTTGTGTATTAAATTTTTTTGAAGCATTCGGTAGCTCATTGTAAAATTTGATACGTTTATAATAAATGGAATTTCAATCAATATTTGTTTTCATTTTCATCAATATCAGATTGCCTCAATATCTTGTTAAATGATTCTGGTGGTCACTACTGATTTTGACAGCCAAATTTGAATGTTTGAGCTTAATTTTGGCCAAATGAATGAAGGTACATAATTTCAATTTGTGTAAGGATGACAAATCTAATAGTTTTTTGGTTCATACAAGTTGACTGTAGATTCCTAGTAGTTCAACTTGTATATAAACTTATAATATTTGGTCCGCAGTTTTTTAATCAGTTTCAATAAGGTGTTTGTTGCCATTTACCATACTGATATAAGATATTGAATTTTGGAATATACAAATGAAAAATAAAACAACACAGTCGACAAAAACATGATTATTCACTATGGCACATTCTCGAATAGTTCATTCGCAATATAATTCCTCCATCTCCCAATCTCGTACTTCCAACTTTTCGAATATATGCGAAAAAGTTGGTCTTTTTATTAGCAAGCACAATCGTGTATCTACTTTACGAGGAATATAACCTTCAAACACCCTTCAAAGTAGTGTAAAAATACCCACTTCGAAGAAGAGTATAATAGCGGAGAAAGGCATTCACGAATGTTCACCCTTTCTTTGAAGTGTAATTTCATGAAAACCGATTTACATAAGTACGATTGTTCTTGTGTTTTGCTTTGTTCAGGTGTACGCGATTCTCAAGATCGTTTTTGAGAGGCCTATTAAAATATTATTCTACTTATCGTTAGACAGAAAGAGATCTACCGGGTTTGTGAACAATATGGGTGTCACGTATTTAAAATCAATTGAGAACGGTAGTCGTGCATGTATTATTTCGTTAAAGGTATTTCGTTACATCGAGAGATGTTTTCACATGTATACCTGTTTTCTCTGTTTTGTCAGTTTTCCAGACTCTACTTTAAACTGTAATATCTCAGAGAATACTCACTCAATCTAACCGAAATAAGCGCCGCCAACGTAACACAAATCGAATAATTCCGTCGGTGAAGTCAACTAAGGTCGTTTTTGCCTGGTCCTGATTGGCAAAGGTTCTACCGGTGAGAAAGTTATCGAAGTTCTTGAAAGGATTGTAGTCAGTTGTCTAGAGGCTTGGGGAGTATAGTGTGTGTGAGACAAATTTCGAAGCTCAATAATAATAATGATATTAATAATATATTTATATAACAGTTAACCCACAAAAGGATATATCCTTGTGCATGGGGTTGTACGGGAAACAATAATAAAACTATTGATTTTTTATATAGATGAGTTTTATTTTCATTTTTAGGTACCTATTCATATTTTTTCCATTGATCTGAGCGTTTTCTACAATGCACTTCAAATATTTACAACAAAAAATATATTATATGTGTTTTGATGGGAACAATTATAGTGTTCGTTTCGGATGTTATTATATCATTTCTTTTTCTACTTATTAAAACACATATAATATATTTTTGATGTAGATATGTTTCAAATAACCATAAAATGGTTTCTTATTCGAAGCTCATTGTAGAAAACGCTCAGAGCAAAGTAAACTTTTTGAAATGGTCATCAAAAACAGGTTATATTTCTATTTTGAAAATAACAATTTCTTGAATCCTGATCAGTATGGTTTCCGTAAGTCTTGTTCTACTGTATAAGCAGTTGTTCGTGTGGTAAGAAACATTGTCGACGGCTTTGAGAAGGGTCAACATAGCGCTGTAACTCTGTGTGACTTGAGTAAGGCATTCGACTGTGTCTCTCACCACTTACTATTTCATAAAATGAATGAATAGGGGGTTAGAGGTGTGGCTCTCTCCCTTCTCACATCGTATTTACAAAATCTAAAACAATATGTCGACCTAGAAGACAATAGAACGTCTGATTTAGAGCCTATAGTGAACGGGGTTCCGCAAGGATCTGTGCTGGGACCTCTCCAATTTGTGATATTTATTAACAGGTTTTCCCTTTTCCTCATATTATTGACTATTCATTTACACAGGCACACATTTTCAATGTTAATTGGGTAGCTGCATCAGAGCTACTCAAAACTCAGGTACTCCAAATCGTGAAAATATATATACAAATCATTCTTCATGTAAGTTTTTCATTTTTATGGGACTCTTGTAGTTGCTTGTGTGTATTTGATAATGAGAATTTCGAAACGTTTGGTACAGTAACTTTGATCGACAGTCATCAATAATAGTTACTAGCTGAGTATTTTGACTTTGCTCAAAAAATCGATATGGTAGTTGGAATGAAAGGAAGGACCGTGCTTTATATATCCATCAATTCCAAATGCATGCTCTTCAGGTAGAAGCGAAAACCTTCTCCATTCAATTTTGTCTTGCCTATAAATATGTTCAACTCCCTGTATCATTTCTCACAGTCCAATCCCATATATAAACCTAGTTTTTCTGAGAGTAATTACATTTCTGTCAAAATCAATCATTTAATATTTTTATAACAATCCTTATAACTATACAGATCTTCGAGAAAGCCGAAGTTCACCAACTCTATCCATTTTTATATTTTCTCATAAATATATATACTTTTCTAGATTGTAAAACATTCTGTGTTGAAAAGATCATTTATTGACATATATAAAATTAATTTTTTCAATTTTCATCATTTTTCACCTAGTTGATATAACTAACTGTTCAATTCCTCAAGCACGCTGGGTTTTCATACTTCTTTTAATTTCTTCTTTGAGCAAAACTACGGTTTTCCTTAACGAACCGTCGCGTCGGTTCCCGTCACGAACCAGTGTGCGCAGCCCCTAAAAAAGTACGGAGCGACCTAAAGCTTAGCGCTCCCAAAATTCAACACATTGTGAGCGAATGTGTAATAAACAGATTTTTTTGCTGCTTCACTATTGAAGTCTTCACGTAATGCACAAAAAAAAATTCATTGATTTGCTTCTGGAAATTAAGAAATTTATGACGTTATCAAAGTGGTAATTGTACCTCATTTCAGAATCAGAATATACACAAATAGGAGTATTTCATTGGATCACCCTGCATACCGATTTCAGTAACTTTTGAAATACACAGGTTACTATACAGGGTGTTCCATCTCAGACGAGCCACCCCGTATTGGAATATTTAAATTTTCATTTTTTGTTAATAATTTTTAATTTTCATCTCGTGTTAGTACTTCAATTTTTTGATTTTTTGATTGTTGCTTGTATTTTTTTTCATTGTAATTTCAGTTTTTTGTTTTATAAAAATTGTTATTTTTAATTTTTTTCACAGATTCTTTCAGGGATTTCAAATCAATTTATATTGTATTAGACAATGGAAGTCCGAACTGATGAAATTCTCGGAAAACTTTAAAGGAATGAATGAGTCATATAGCTCTCATGGTGCAGAAAAAAAATTATATAACACGAATACTCTTGGTCAGATTGAAGTGTGTTGCCTGTCTTACTTACAAGGTACTTACAAGGTATTCCAGATACTTTTGGGCTCTCTATCAATGCATTTTTTTTCGTAATTTTCTGGGGCTAACTCAGATAACCATTTGTCATGTCATATTAATATTACCATAAATTTTAACAACAACAACAAGTGTTAGGAAAAGTTAAGTGCCAAAGATGAATTTTTCTTTTTCTCATATTTCCATTAAAATTAAAAACTTATCAATCTTTGGTAAATCCAACAAATTATTTTTCCTGTCAAACTACAGTTCCAAAATCATATCATGAATTTCATCACATTAATTTTCATCCATGTCATACTCAATACTCTTGAAGTCCTGAGCAAGCTCGAAATCGAACCGTACCGTAAACTTATTTTCAAATTGATTACTTCCTTCCTTTCTTTGGAAGGTTCCCTCATCCTTTTTTTGTATCAAGATGGAATAGTAAAAATCCAAAAACTTTCTTTCCCAAAAAATATCCACTCATAAAAATAAC